AAAAAAAAAAAAAAAAAAAAAAAAAAAAAACAATAGCTTGTTCTTGTGAATTATAAGGAATTTCAGTAGTATGACTAATTTTTTATCGTAACAGAAACTTTTGGAAAGATTTGCTGCTGTAACCAGGGCCATTGTCTGTTTTAATTTTTTGTGGAACGCCCATAATAGCAAAGCAAGATAACAGATGGTTTTTAACATGAGCTGTGCTTTCTTTGGTTTGGCATGTAGCCCAAATGAAATAAGAAAAAGTATCAACAGTAACATGTAAGAGACTTTTATAATCTTTGTAAAAGAGCAGGTTAGTGTTTTAAGAAAAAACTGTGTGCTTTAATGTATAGTTTACAGAACACTAGATGATACTTTTAACTTTTAACCAATATGTTTACACACAGAATTTTTTTACAATTAATGTTTTAAAACTTGTTCAGACCTTCAAAACAAAATTTATACAACCTACTTGCATAAATTTCCTTTTATAGCATTTTTGTAACTTTCACTGACAAACTTAGACATGGTAAACTTTGTTTTATAACCTTTTTTACTAAGGGTATAATTTTATAGCTTTCTTAATATTTCTATTTTTCTCTTTAATTTTTCTGTTTTTGACTGTCTTGGTTAAGTAGTGTTGTTACTACTTTTGCTTGCTTATCGCCATAAGCTAATGGCCCAGGCAGTGAGCTGTGGGCTTGAGATTAGACTTAATAAAGCTCTTTTAAGATTTTGTTGCAAATAAACTGAGCAAGCCAAGTTACTTACTATATTTATGGGCTGAGCAGAAAAAGTTTTTTAATGCTAATATCACAGCTTTAATTTCAGCTTTTTTGACTGCTAGTAAACTTAGATTGGGTGATTGAATTTGATTGAATTATGTGGTCTCATTAGACTGTAGTTTTTTTCTTGTTTACCTGGTCCATTAGCAAACAATGTTAAAGTATCAGATATTGAGAAGTGCAATAGTGCTTTGAATTGCTCTTTTTTTATTTTTTTTTTTTTTTTTTTTTTTTTTTGAGACGGAGTTTCACTCATGTTACCCAGGCTGGAGTGCAATGGCGCAATCTCGGCTCACCGCAACCTCCGCCTCCTGGGTTCAGGCAATTCTCCTGCCTCAGCCTCCTGAGTAGCTGTGATTACAGGCACGCACCACCATGCCCAGCTAATTTTTTGTAGTTTTAGTAGAGACGGGGTTTCACCATGTTGACCAGGATGGTCTCGATCTCTTGACCTCGTGATCCACCCGCCTCGGCCTCCCAAAGTGCTGGGATTACAGGCTTGAGCCACCGCGCCCGGCCTGAATTGCTCTTTTCTTAAAGGAATTTTGGTGACGCTAAGATTAACTTAGCAATTTACTGCATTAATTTTATTATTATTTTTTTTAAAGATGGAGTTTCACCATGATGGCCAGGCTGGTCTTGAACTCCTGACCTCAGGTGATCCACGCACCTCGGCCTCCCAAAGTGCTAGGATTACAGGTGTGAGTCACCGTGCGCCCAGCCTACTGCATTAATTATTAAGATGGCAAGTTGAAATTGGTAACATGAAGTTTTAAAAAGAAATCTGGGCCAGGCACAGTGGCTCACACCTGTAATCCCAGCACTTTGGGAGGCCAAGGCAGGTGGATCACAAGGTCAGGAGTTCGAGACCAGCCTGGCCAAGATGGTGAATGAGCCCCATCTCTACTAAAAATACAAAAATTAGCTGGGCGTGGTGACACACGCCTGTAATCCTAGTTTCTCAGGAGGCTGAGGCAGGAGAATTGCTTGAACTCGGGAGGGTTGCAGTGAGCCGAGACCGTGCCACTGCATTCCAGCCTAGGTGACAGAGTGAGACTCCATCTCAAAAAAAAAAAAGAAAAAGAAAAAAAAGAAATCAGAAAACATCTCTGGAAGCAGAGACAAATAATATACTTTAACCATATGCTTAAAGTCACAGGCAGAACAGCTTACATCTAGCAATTGAGTTTTTAAGTTAAGTTTATGGACTTCAGAGTGGCAAACTGTTTTGAATACAGTTATTCACTAGCTGAGCAAAGACTACCTTTAATCATTCTTATGCATATGTTTTTTTACAACACTTACATACAATTTTCTTCTACTTTTTGAGAATGGGCTTAACATTTTTACTTTTTAACTTATTTAATTTGCTTTAAAGTTTTCCTTTAAAGGGTTTGGTTTTACATGCTTAGCTTTTTTTTTTTTTTTTTTTGAGATGGAGTTTCGCTCTTGTTACCCAGGCTGGAGTGCAATGGCGCGATCTCGGCTCACCGCAACCTCCGCCTCCTGGGTTCAGGCAATTCTCCTGCCTCAGCCTCCTGAGTAGCTGGGATTACAGGCACACGCCACCATGCCCAGCTGAATTTTTGTATTTTTAGTAGAGACGGGGTTTCACCATGTTGACCAGGATGGTCTCGATCTCTTGACCTCGTGATCCACCCGCCTCGGCCTCCCAAAGTGCTGGGATTACAGGCTTGAGCCACCGCGCCCGGCCCATGCTTAGCTTTTAATTGCTTTTTAACTAATTTGTTAGCCTTCTTTTATAGCTGATTGAAATTTATTATTTAAATTTACAAAATTAAGGGTAAATAAGGCTTGTGTCAGTAGTGTTGCCATTTTAAGATATTAAGCAGGTTTTGCATCTTATCAGTTAATTAGGAAATTCTTTTCTACTTAGGAGCAAAGTTATATGTCTCACTTTTAATTGTTCCTTTCTAATTTATGGGCTAGCTAATTTTACTTAAATTGGATGTTAAAAGCTACCTTAGAGATAACAGAGTAGTTATTATTAGAATTTAAATTTTACTTAAACCTTAGCAGAGAATTACAATTTTGATGCTACTTGTCTACAAAGAACACATAAAATTTTACTGCAGGAAACCTGCAGAGCACAGCGCACAGGCACTTGGACCTGGCCCCGCCCAGCTGCTGCTTGCTGCTGACAGCTTTCTGCCTGTGTTTCGAGCTTGCTGCTCCTTCCTTGCACCAGGGAAGCCTTTGCTGGCCTTGGGCTGAGCCTGTTGGCTTGAACGCCGCTGCTAGAGCAGCAAGTTTCACTTTTGAAACGGCTTTTGATTCCTGTAACGGAGGAATGTCAGGCTGATCTGGCCACTCTTTGATAAAATACAGAGAAGGGGCTGACAGACTCTTTTCTCCTCATTTCTTTTTTCTTTTTTCTTAACTGGGTTATCTTTAATTTTCTTATCCCAGTTATAGTCTCCTTCTTCCCCAGCTCCTTCTTTATAAAGCAATGAAAGACAAAGAAAGCAATAGAAGAACGGAGTAAGAAAGCACAGATTCATTGAAAACAACTGATAGAGCCAGCGGCTAGTACTAATTTTAACTCCCCCACTTCTAAAGAGGTGCTTCACTAAAAGTGAGTAAGTAACATGCTTGCTTTCAGCTTTTCCCATTTTTACCTGGTATCCTATCCTTCCAAGTGCATCTACTCACGCGTAGTGCTGATTAGTTTTGTTCTCTAGAGTCCTTTGTCCGTTGTTCCTCCACTTTACCACGCTCAGGCGTTCCTTCACCGAAATTCTCTAGCCCCACATTTGGGCACCAGAATGTAGGGAACCAGCCCCCACACCCCACCCGTGGGTACCCTGAGTTCTGTGGCAACAAAGGAATGAGAAGACATTAAGAATAAAAGTGGGACCGGGGACCATCACTTTGTACTGGAGGCAGTGAAGGCCCTGAACTCTGGTTTCCACAATATTTATTGAACACAATCACTTTTATCTGTAGTGCAGGTGGCAGGGTGAATCGGTGAAGGGAGGCTGTGCATCAAACATAAAATTGATAGCAGTGGCGGTTTATGTGAGTTTCTCACAAGCCAAAAGCATATGCTTATCAATAGACAATGCAGCTGGTGGGAGCGGGCTTAGCAAGGAGCCTACATGTCTGGTTACATTCCAGTGCTTCAAGGGAGTGTTATGTCCTTGGGCACTATGTTTAGAATATCAGAGCTTAGGACACTCTGCACCTGGAAACATGCTGACATAGAGAGGCCTTCCTCCCCAGAGACCTCCGAGGCCTTCTGCCGTTTATTGTTCCTGATTTATTTTATGCATTACTTAGAACCAGTTTATGTAGGTACGCTGTAAACCCCTCCTCCACTGCTGCCTTCCCCAGTAGGACAGAGGAAGACTCTGTCTCGGAAAAAAAGAAAAAGAATTTAGGAGGTTTGGGTTGGGCGCAGTGGCTCAGGCCTGTAATCCCAGCACTTTGGGAGACCAAGATAGGTGGATCACCTGAGGTCAGGAGTTTGAGACCAGCTTGTCCAACATGGTGAAACCCTGTCTCTACCAAAAATATAAAAATTAGCGGGCACCTATAGTCCCAGCTACTTGGGAGACTGAGACAGAACTGCTTGAACCTGGGAGGCAGAGGCTGCAGTGAGCCAAGATCATGTCACTGCACTCCAGCCTGGGAAACAGAGTGAGACTCTATCTAAAAAAAAAAAAAAAAAAAAAAAAAAAAAAATTAGGAGATTTGTATGGTTTTGGAAAATCTGACTTGCTTCTATTACACTATTACTCAGAAATTGAGAGACTTTTGACCTAACTAGGGTGGATTAATGACAAGCTGCAGGGAATTTGAACAGTCTTAAATTGGTAATACAGTTTTCATCTATTTGAATCAGAAACATTTCTTTAGCAGTAATTACATTTCTTTTAGAATTCATTTTAGCGAGGAGGGGTAAGTCATCACTGCTTCTGACTCTGGGGGAGTCCAGGCCTGCCTGGTTGCCCTCAGAGCTGTTTCTACTCCATCTGAAGTGAAATACTGGGCTACTGGTAGTGTGTAGTTAGCACCCCAGACTTGGCTAAGCCACAAGACCTCCCATTGCTGCCTGCTCCCTTTCTGTCTAGAAACAGAACCTCTCCTTTTGTGAAGCAGCATTCATTTATCCTATCCTAAGGAGATTCACCAAAGTGGTCCCTGAGAGTGGCTGGATTAGGGAATGCCCCCATGTGCTTGCGTCATGGAAACTGCCACTGTGTGTAAAATCTTGGAAGAAAGACTGGGTGCCGTGGCTCACGCCTGTAATCTCAGCACTTTGGGAGGCCGAGATGGGCAGATCACTCGAGGTCAGGAGTTCAAGACCAGCCTGGCCAACATGGTGAAACCACATCTCTACTAAAAATACAAAAAAAAAAAAAAAAAAAAATTGGCCTGGCATGGTGGCGAATGCCTGTAGTCCCAGCTACTCTGGAGGCTGAGGCAGGAGAATCGCTTGAACCTGGGAGGCAGAGGTTGTGGTGAGCCAAGATCAAGCCACTGCACTCCAGCCTGGGCTACAGAGCAAGACTCCGTCTCAAAAAAAAAATTAAAAAAATAAAAAATAAAATATATCTATATATCTATATCTATATCCATATCCATATCTATATCTATATCTATATCTAACCTTGGAAGAAAGAAGAAAGAGGTGGGCCTGCACTTGGATCCCCTGACCCGTCTTGACTGATGGGACTAGAAAATACAGACTATGCTTTGCTGTGGGGAAGGGAGAGGAGGTGGGAGAAGAGGTAAGGGGTCTTACCAGGGTAGGGAGAAACCACCAGTGTGACCTGCCTTAAAGGTGTTGCTCTTGTCTGCAAGTCCACCTGGGGGAGGGGGGTCAGTTTTTGCCCTGGGGGCGTGTAGTTATCTCTTTCTGAGGGTAACCAGCCCTAGAAGAGCAGAGGTGCTTTGGCACTTGGCCATTGATAGGTATGTCTCCTCCCCACCCCCATTTTTGGTGATAATCAGTTTAATTTTTTTCTTTTTCTTTTTTTTAAGACGGGGTTTCACCGTGTTGGTCAGGCTGGTCTTGAACTCCCGACCTCTGGTGATCCGCCCGCCTTGGCCTCCAAAATGCTTGGATTACAGGCGTGAGCCACTACGCCTGGCCAGTTTAATTTTTTTCTGAGGTAATGGTGTCTCAGTTGTGGAAGAGTCCCTTCCCGCCTCTTCACACGTGCCAACTCTGATGCATGCAGTGTTCCATACACCTGAGCACTGGCTCATTCCTGCGGGCTGCCATGGGGGACTGATCTTCCTGATGCCAGGGATCCTCCAGGATGCCCTCTCTGACCTCCTATGCAACCCCGTACATCAGGCAGCTTCCCTAAGGCCTGCCTGACTCCGGCCGGATTTCCCAGGAGATCCGGACCGACCGCGGAACCGAGCTTCAGGAACGCCTGCGAGGAGGCCATGGGTCCTACTCTATCCCCGAGTACACAGTCCCGGCCTCCGGCGCCCCGAAACGCCGCAGTGTTGAGTCATCTCAGCGCTGCCTCCTCCGCGCTGCGCTCCCCACCCCCGCTCCAGGAGCCAGAAGATGCAGACGATACTTTTCCGGGAGGCAAGAGAGCGTCTTTACACAGGCACCGAGAAGCTCCCAGTGGGGTATGCCTTAATGGTGCCACTCTTGTCTGCGTCTACACTTAGGGGCTTGGCTTCTGACTTGGGGAGTGTACAGCTCTGCCCGGCGACAACCCAGCTTGGGAAGAGAAGCCCCAGCGTGGGTCAGGGCTCAAGACTCAGGGAGGCCGAACCCTGCGTGGGCGGCTCCGGGCGGGCGCAGCACCCCCAGGCACCGTCTCCTAGTGACCGCGGCGCTTACGGGCCCGGCGACCGTTGTCCGGGCGACTGCGCAGCGCAGGCACCCCCGCAGCCCCTCCCCTGGGCGCGCGCGCGACCTGGGTGCCATGGCGGCGGCGGCAGTGACAGGCCAGCGGCCTGAGACTGCGACGGACGGGGAGGCCTCGAGGCCGCAGTGGGTGCCACCAGAGCACTGCCAGGCACAGGCGGCGGCCGGGCTGGGCGGCGGCGAGGACGCACCGGTGCGGCCACTGTGCAAGCCCCGCGGCATCTGCTCGCGCGCCTACTTCCTGGTGCTGATGGTGTTCGTTCACCTGTACCTGGGCAACGTGCTGGCGCTGCTGCTCTTCGTGCACTACAGCAACGGCGACGAGAGCAGCGACCCTGGGCCCCAGCTCCGCGCCCAGGGCCCCGGGCCCGCGCCTGCCTTAGGTCCCCTCACCCGGCTGGAGGGCATCAAGGTGAGGACCTCCCCCCACCGCCGCACTCCTGGCCGGAAATGGCTGAGCCGGAGAGGACCGGCGCTCAGCCCGGGTTCCTTACATTGCCCCCGGCGCTGCTGTGCCTCGGTCCCGCACTCCCACTCACTCGCCTGCTGTCACGCTCCGAGCCAGAGCGACTTGGCCTCTCTTGGGCAGCGTGGTCTGGCGCCTCAGCTGCCCGCTGTGCGCCTTTCCCTTAGGTGGGGCACGAGCGTAAGGTCCAGCTGGTCTCCGACAGGGAACACTTCATCCGAACCCTCAGCCTCAAGCCGCTGCTCTTCGGTAAGTCCGCCAGATACTCCTGGGAAGGGCCAGGGGCTGCAGTTTGGTGGCCACCTTGAGGCTCATTATGATCACGTGACCTCTATTTGAAAATGGCTGCTTCGAAGCAGCCCTTCCAGAGGGTTACCAAAGTGAAGGACCCTCCCAGTTCTCGGAATAGGGTAACACTCCCTCTTATCCCTACTCCCTGCAGTCCATTCTTCCATCACAGGGCTGACGATGTGAGCCTGAGGCTGGCGTCTAAACATTTCATTGCAGCTGTCTTCTGACAGTCTGTGCCACCATTGATTCTGTCACCTTCTAGAACTCGAGGAAGATGGGAAACTGATAACCAGCTTTCTGCCCACCTCAGGACCTCTGGGGAAAATCCCAATGCCCAAGTGGGTCTTGTGTTCTGATGAGAAGCAGGCCATCCAAATGTAGGTAAACTGGCGCCCCCCAGCCTTCCCCACAGAATCAGCAGTCAGAAGCTCAGCTTTTGCTGCCAGCACTCTGGGATTCTGCTCACCGTGGAGTCTTTGTTCAGCCATCATGGGCAAAGACTTCTAGGGTAACTCTGCTTGGAGCCACAACATAGCTCATGTTTTCTGAGTTCTAGTTATGTGCTTGCCTTGGTATGATTATTTCATTTAATTTCTGCAACCCCTCTGTGAAGTGGGTATAGATCCTACCCTCAGGCCAGTGGGGGAGAAAGTTAGGCCCAGAGAGCTGCTGTGGCTTGGCTAGGCTGGCACGGTTACTTCAGTGATGAAGCTAGGATTAGAACCCACAGTTAACTTCAGCGGTGAAGCTAGGATTAGAACCACTGTGCACTAAAGCCACAGTGTGAGCTGTGAAGACCCCAGAGTCCTTCAAAGACCACCAGTGTCGACAAGGTGGGGATTCCTCGTCCCATGGACCTTGCCCAGGGTAAGTTTGTGCAGCACAGCCCTGGGTAGCTAGCCTCCATGACAAACATATTTGCAAACCCAGGGCCATTCCTGCCTGCCAGGGGATGGAATGGGTTAGGAGCTGGGGCCAAAGTAGAGCATCTGAGCACATGTCATTACTGCCACGGTAGAGGGTCCTGGTTGGGGGATGATGCCTAGGCCTCTCAGAATGATGTTATATGCATGCTGTTTGTGAGAAATAGATTATGCTGGCAGTCGTGTTGTGGGAGGGGCACCCAAAGCTGGTTTTTGTTGTTATTACTATTACTATTGAATAACATTGAAGTCTGTGCCAGGCACTATTTTAGGGGCAGGGAATACGGTACTGAACTAAATATAAACAATGAAAGAAAACCCCGAAGCTGACATTCAAATAAAGAGGAAACAGACAATAAACAAACAAATATATATATACATTGGTGTCTCAGATGGTGATATGTGATTGCAGACAAGTAAGGCAGATTTTTTTTCTTTTTTCTTTTTTGCCAACATAAAATAGCAGACAGGGCCAGGCGCAGTGTCTCACGCCTGTAATCCCAGCACTTTGGGAGGCCGAGGAGGGCAGATCACTTGAGGTCAGGAATTTGAGGCCACCCTGACCAACATGGTGAAACCCCATCTCTACTAAAAATACAAAAATTAGCCAGGCGTCATGGAAGGCACCTGTATTCCCAGTAGCTCGGGAGGCTGAGGCATGAGAATTACGTGAACCCAGGAGGCGGAGGTTGCAGTAAGCCAAGATAGTGCCACTGCACTCCAGCCCGGGCGACAGAGACACTGTCTCAAAAAAAAAAAAAAAAAAAATAGCAGACAGTAAGGCAGAAGTTCAACTGGGATTGGAACTCTTTTTTGTTTTTTGTTCCCTGAGATGGAGTTTCGTTCTTGTTGCCCAGACTGGAGTACAATGGCGCGATCTCAGCTCAATGCAACCTCCGCCTCCTGGGTTAAAGCAATTTTCCTGCCTCAGCCTCCCAAGTAGCTGGGATTACAGGCATGTGCCACCATGCCTGACTAATTTTTTGCATTTTTAATAGAGATGGGGTTTCACTGTTTTAGCCACGGTGGTCTCAATCTCCTGACCTCAGGTGATCATCCACTCGCCTTGGCCTCCCAAAGTGCTGGGATTACAGGTGTGAGCCACCACACCTGGCTAGAACTCTTAATGAGGTAGCCAGGGTGGACCTGCCTGAGAAAAATCTTTGAGCAAAGACTTGTGGAAAGTATGGGGTAAAGCCAGGCAACTTCAGGAAAGAGGGATCCAGAGACCAATATTCACCCCATTACCACTACACTACTATGAACAGACACGTCTGAGGAGGTGGTGTTTTCTCTCAGCAGCCTTCCCGGGATCTGAATATATCTAATTCTTTTTTTTTTTTTTTTTTTTTTTGAGATGGAGTTTCACTCATGTTACCCAGGCTGGAGTGCAATGGCGCGATCTCGGCTCACCGCAACCTCCGCCTCCCGGGTTCATGCAATTCTCCTGCCTCAGCCTCCTGAGTAGCTGGGATTACAGGCACGCACCACCATGCCCAGCTAATGTTTTGTATTTTTAGTAGAGACGGGGTTTCACCATGTTGACCAGGATGGTCTCGATCTCTTGACCTCGTGATCCACCCGCCTCGGCCTCCCAAAGTGCTGGGATTACAGGCTTGAGCCACTGCGCCCGGCCTCTACTTCATATTTGTGTTAGGTTAATTGAGCCATGAGTCCAAAGTCTTCCTAATAAGCAGCTTGTCCTATATAAAACAGAGAATGAGCCTGGCGTGGTGGCTCACGCCTATAATCCCAGCACTTTGGGAGGCTGAGCCAGGTGGATCACTTGAGATCAGGAGTTCAAGACTAGCCTGGCCAGCATGGTGAAACCCTGTCTCTACTAAAAATACAAAAATTAGCTGGGCATGGTGGCAGATGCGTGTAATTCCAGCTACTCAGGAGGCAGCTGGGGCAGGAGAATCGCTTGAACCCAGGAGGCGGAGGTTGCAGTAAGCCAAAATCATTGCCACTGCACTACAGTGTGACAGAGTAAGACTCCTTCACCAAAAAAAAAAAAAAAAAAAAAAAAGCAGAGCATGAGAAACCCAGATCTGAAGTCACCAAGAGCAAATTACAAAAAGCAGAAGAGATTTGACAAAACGTAAACTGGCTCTGGTTAAGCCATCAGATAGATCTCTGTTTCTGCAAAGTTCAAAAAGCATAACCAAGAGATTGTAATCAGTGATTACAAGAAGTCCAGATGTGTGACAGGGAAACCACAGGGGAGAGGGTGGTCATGGTGGCGCAGTTCCTGAGTGCTGTGGTATTAGATGACTACAAAGAAGGATGCCTCATCCCCAGCAGGAGCAGTGTCTGTCTTCTGGGCCTGACTGTCCCTCTGTCCATTGGCCTGCTGCCTAGTCATTCTAAAGGGGCAAGCAGGGCCTGAGGAGAGTGGGCCTGCTATAGACTGTGCCCCCTCTGCCAGGCTATTCTCTGGCTCCAAACCTGTGACCTGCCACCCTGAGGGACCCAAGATACCTGGGATCCAGGAGTGGATGCTCAAGATGTGAGCTGAGGAAAGGGAACTGGGGTCGACACCAAGGTGCCTCCATCTTTGTAGAAGGGAACCCTAGCACTTCACAGGGAAGATCCCATGCAACCCTCAGTTTCTCTTTGAGAAATATTTTCAGTTTCCTACCCTTCTTCCTAAAGACACTTGGGAACTGGGACCACAAAAGGCCCATGCTGATCTGGCAAATACCTCCATGACTGATAGGTATTTCCCAAGGATTTGGAATATTGGATGTCAGCTGAGGCCATCATCCTGTTCATAAGAGAAGTGCTCCATTTCCGAGACATTGCCACCTCTCTGGGGACATTGCTTTCTTACATGTGGCTCACTTCTCCCACCATCCTACCCCACTCCACATTGATTCTGTCATAGCAGATCAGATCTCATCGCTCTCTTTTTTTGTTTGTTTTGTTTTTGTTTTGAGACAGAGTTTCACCCTTGTTGCCCAGGCTGGAGTGCAATGGTGCCATCTCGGCTCACTGCAACATCTGCCTCCCGGGTTCAAGTGATTCTCCTGCCTCAGCCTCCCGAGTAGCTGGAACTACAGGAGCCCACTTTCACCACCTGGCTAATTTCTTTTTTTTTTTTTTTTTTTTTTTATAAGATGGGGTTTCACCATGTTGGTCAGGCTGGTCTTGAACTCCCGACCTCAGGTGATCCGCCCACCTTGGCCTCCAAAGTGCCTGGATTACAGGCATGAGCCACCGTACCTGGCCAAATTTCTTGTATTTTTTGGTAGAGACAGGGTTTCACCAAGTTGGCCAGGCTGGTCTCGAACTCCTGACCTCAGGTGAACCACCCACCTCAGCCTCCCAAAGTGCTGGGATTACAGGCGTGAGCCACCGTGCCTGGCCACTCATCACTCTCTTAAAAGTCTCCAACATTTTCCATTTCACTTCTAAGTCTCATTTGATGCCTAAAAGCCCTCTTGCCTCTTAGACCCATCTCTTACCCTCACCCCCGACTCCACTTACTCCCTGCTGATCCTCAGACACCATAAGCTCACTGCTGCCTCGGGCTTTTGTATGTGCTGTTCTCTTACTAAAAGGCTTAGACCTGGCCCTTCCCCCAGAAAGTGCCATTAGCTTCAGCAGGCCTCTGCTCACACATCTCATCCTTAGAGACCTCTTGTCCTCAAACCCACCTGAAGAAGTTCCCAGACACCCCGTTGCGTCAGCCTGCTGGGTTCCATTCTCAAATGCTTAGGTTTGCTGGAAACTACCTTCCATGTTTACTAGTGTCATTTGTACCTCTGCCTGCAAAAGTGAGCTGCATATGTAAGAGGATTGATTTGTTTCAGCTGTGTGTCCAATGGCCAGAGTTGCATCTCCTGCTGATTTTTTTTTTTTTTTTTTGAGATGGAGTCTAGCTCTTTGCCCAGGCTGGAGTGCAGTGGTGTGATCTCAGCTCACTGTAACCTCCGCCTCCTAGGCTCAAACCATTCTCCTTCTGCCTCAGCCTCCAAGTAGCTGGAATTTCAGGCACCTGCCACCATGGCCAGCTAATTTTTGTATTTTACT